AATTCGGGTATTAATCTATTTACTATCGCGTTCTTAGGCTAACTTAATAGCACCTTATACGTGATTACGCTAGCTTTCTTGCTTCTTAGTTATAGGATTTAAGTATTTAAATAACGCTAAAAGTAAAACTATAATTAAGGTTATATTCTTATAAACGATATCTAGATTTTAAAGTGCGCTATATATTACTATTAGTGCTTTATTATATGTCTTAATAGTCTAGCTTTTATATTTAAGCTAACTACTAGTCTTATTAATAAATAACGCTATAGCGTAAGCTTTAAATGCTAGTTAGTAATACTCCTATTCCTTATCGCTCTTTAATAGAATAATAAAACCTATACCACTAATTTTATTTTAGCTAGGTAATTTAAAATTATAATAATATAAAAAGTAAGCGATTACCCTTTCCTATAAAGGCATATATAGAAGGTCTAAGAAGCGTAGCTATAAGAATTCTACCTTTAGTATTAAATATAAGGTAACTTTCTTATTCTATAATATAGTATTTAACGGTTTATTCTTTTTAAATTTTCTGCTAAAAGATTTCAAATATTTGTATTAACTAATAATCCCTTCTTTAAGTGCGGTACATTTTCTCCTAGACTTAATACACTACTAATAGGGCCTTAAATTATTATATTACGTAGACTTCTTATTAGACCTTTAATTATTACGAGGTTAGTTAATCTCTAAGTAGTATATTTACCTTAACTTAGAACTTTTTATAACCCGTATAAGCCTTTAAAACCCTACGAGATAACGTAAGCGCCTTATCTAGTAATAAAATAGCGTCCTATATTATAGTTAGGCTAGGCGAGGTTACTATTATAGTTTTCTGCCCTTTCTTTCTTACGTACTCTACGCTAGTATTATAGTAAAATATAATATTAGTTTTAGGTCTAGTATAAAGCCTGTGAGCCTTCGCCCCTTCGCATTACATATATTCCATATTAGACTTTCAGCTATTATAAGGTTTAGTTAATCCCTTAACTGTAAATAATAGATATACTTTAATTCTGCGCTTTTTACTAGTAGAGACTATAGTAGTAACGAATGCGAACCCTATAGGTCTTAAATGTTAATTTAGTGGTGTTTTAATGTAATATAACTAGGGTATAGGATTCCCGATAGATACTATTATAAGCTCTCTAAAGATCTGAGTTAGAACCGCCACGAAAGAAAGGACTATTATACTTATATATTCTATGAAATAATAGATTAGCCTCCACGTAAATAATATACGCAGCCTAATATATATTAAAAAATAATATAAACCCTTAAGTCTAGGGAAATAAGGCTACTAAAACTATATTCCCTAGTTTAGGGGCACTTTTATAGTGCATTAATAAGAGATTTTCCTTACTAAGGGTTACACCTACGAAGAGAGTAGTATAGTAGTGTAGAATATTTAGAGGTACTTTCTAGCGCTAAAGTTTACGGGCTTATTAGTGTATTTTAGGTTCTTAGAGAAGCGTTTAAAGTGGTTAGTAAAGCTTTTAAAGGTTTATATAATGTACTAAAAAGAGAATATCTAAGTATAATTAAAATAAGTGGTCTATAATTTATGTTAACAAACGTTGGTTTTTATTCCGTTAGTATAGAGTGGTTTAAGCTTCTATAAGGCAATTGTAAACGAGTAGTAATTATATTAATATGCCTATCATGCAAAAGCATTACCAGTCAGATAATTGAGGGTCACAAAAGATCAAGTATAATGGCGCTAATAGCGCTAATTTTATTAAATAAGAATTATCTAAGGAGCAAGAATTCTATTAGGCGTTTTAGGGGAACCGTGCAGCTCTTTATACACAAAATAAATCTTTAATAGTTTAGGTAGTAATAGTTACCTTTTAGGTAGATACTATAGTGTCCTAAGTTTTTAGGAGATATAATTTAGGTGGGCCTAATATACGATACCCTCTTTTATATATCTTTTAGTACTAGCTTAATCTTAGAATTACTTAACGTATTTTTTATTTTTAACCTATTCTAAAGTAAAACACTATCCGTCGTATTACTACCCGCTATTTATCGCCTATTAGTCTCTTTCTTCTTAGCTTTAAGCTTGCGATACCTTTAAAGTCGTATACTACCGTCTACAATTTTGATAACTGTAAACATTTCATTTTAAACCTACCTAGTTAGCGTACGCAGGATAATAATGGAAGAGCACCTCACTAGTTTATAGTTCACTCGTGATGCTAAGACATTGGAAAATGAGAGAAATGATAGCCTAAATGTAGTGATCTCGAAGCAGATTCGAATATCTAGAGGAATCTAATACTTCCAGTTCTGGGATTTTTGCTTTCTACCTTTAAAGCGCATAATTAAACATGCTAGCATCATAGATATTCGAAAGGCAGCTACAGTAGGCGTCGGTAAAATTAGTGACGATGATCTAAACTTGAAGTCCGCCAATAGTAACCCGATCCCCGTAAGCGATAACGCTTGTAAAATTCTCGTTATCACGATTTTAGCATAGGTTCTTTTAACGGCTATGAGACCAGCCCATGCGATGCCCTGGATTCAGTTCAGTCTCCCAGCTCATTTCCGGAGCTGATATACACTCACCTCTAATACCATACTCCAGAGCAGCATCACTGATACTTCGTAATCCGCCCAGATTTCCAACGAATACCTCCTGAGTCCGCGCCACATTGCCGTAACCAAGACAACACTCACCACAAAACCAGCAAAAATAAAACTTAACGCAAACAGAGATATCTAGAACCTGAAATTATTGCTCTGAGATAGCCTTCTGCAGAAATGAAGTCTTAATAGTGCTGCAGCACCAAGAATCAAAGATTGCAAAACGAAACAAATTGTCACACACATTTATTGCGTAAAAGACAAGGCTGGAGGATCTTCTGCCTGCATAATATCGAACGTGGGAGGAGAGTGTCAATAACAAGGCATTCAGCTCCCCGCTATTCCTGCAGCGATAGCCTCATTTTAAGTAGTTCACTTAAAAGGTCTTTAACAATCAATTATCCTCTAATTCCAGGGTCAAATATAAGGTCCCACGTATCCCGAACATTTCCCTGACAACCCCTGCTTAACCCTTTCGTTATACTATTCGGACTCGGTTAACTTCCTGACTTGGGAGAGGTCTTAATAATGCGTGTATTAGCTGGAGGAGATAATGATAATAAGGGGCCCTTACGCTGGTATGAAAAGGAGCCGTAATGTGATTATTGTGGAGTATAATAGCAGGAACTTGTCTGCGACTGTGACACCTTTAGGTTATTTTATTTATAATCTTTATTAGAAAATTTCTAAAATAATTTATCTACGCGTTATCGTTGTATTTTCCGGTAATATTATTCTAGGTCTAATAGCAAAAATCAATTTATAATAGCTAAAGATCTCTTAAAATTTTTTTAACTTCTTACTAAAAGTTAAATTAAGCTAAGTTCATATAATAGCCTTTTATAGACATTCTAATCGCAGCTTTAACGGCGAGGAAATTAAGGTTATTACCGCTTACTATAAAGGCACGGGTAACTTAACCTAGAACGAGCGTAAATCCTTTAATTACTTAATTAATGTGTAAAATATCTTTATAAGTAAAGTATAGTTTAAATATAAATTTTAATAAGACGTTTTATATATATTTAACTTCTTCGTTACATTAATATACCTTAATATTATAAATAGTGTAATAGTAAAGGCAAATACTATACTTTATCTTATATATTAGTGGTATTTTTATTGGTTTTTAAGAGGACTTTAAAGGGAAAAAAAGAATAAAGGAGACTTTAATAGGTAATAGATTAGGGTTAAAGGAAATGGGAAAGGCCTTAAACGAAAAGTAAAAGAGATTTTATAGCTAGGTAATATAGGGAGAAAAAAACTAACCTTCCCTACGCGATAATATACGTAATAGTCTTACATATAGCTTTATATTATAATATTTAATAGAGTGCTTAAATTAATGTATAAAGGCGAAAAATTTATTAAGAATTATTTCACTTTTATAATAGGCATTATAAAATACGGCCTAGCATCTATGTACACCTGTAATTAATAGTTTATAAGCGGGTGAATTAAAGGAGGCAGTGAATAAATACAAAGATTTTGTTATCGTATACTGTTTGCTATACTATGTTTAGCCTCTCCTCCACTGTTTTGGAACTCGAACGAAGAGTCCTGCCGTTTTTGACACCAGTAGCAATCGACACTCGCCTACCACCCAGCTACACTGCCGTTGGACTTCCCCATTGCCTTTGGAGTTATCGATTCCCAATCTGTCGCATCCATGGTAGCCATAGGAGCTTGGTTTGAAGCACCGCAGCTAGGAACTAGCACAAATTCCGTGTTTAGTCGCGGATTTATTGTCTGCTCCGGAATGGTCGCCAACTCACCGCCATTGCTGCAGGGACAGCCTCATTATAAGATTTTCTGTAGACGACCATTTGATTGTTCTCGGTCGCCAGGGTCGAAGAGGAGGTCTCATCCAACGAGCATGTGGGCTATCGCTGGAAGGCCAAAACCCGACCGTCTTGACTATCATTCTGAACTGGTTAGTCTCTGCCTCGATAGGAGAGTCTCACTGGTATGTGCGTGACGGCCAAATCAGACGGCTGTAATGACCAGCAACCCTTACTAGTGCGTCGGGGAATCGGTAGTGCATCTATCATTGGCTCCACATTGAACGATGCAAGCCGTGCTAGTAAATGCAGTCATGTTGGACTGCGGTTCAACACCAAGCAGCCAAGAAGGGGCGTGCAAAATGTTTTACAAAATCGTTTGTGTAAAACATTCTGCGCCCCCCTCTCCGTCCCCCTAATGGTGGCCGACCGCCATGCGACCAAAACAATCCCCTGTTCTTCTGTACATTTCATGTTAGCTGGGTTCATGAACAAGGCCGATCAAAGGAACGCACATCGGGGCAATGGAAAAACCCGTCATTACACATTTCTTCAGTGTAGGCTCGCCGTCCGCTCCCAAAATGCTCTATTCATTTTCACTCTCATATCCTTTGTCCAAAGATCAGAATGAGTGGTCTCGACCTCCTTGCGAGGTACCTTCGAGATGGGTTGTTCGATGATGCCGACTTTGCGAACTCTTTCGTTCAAGACCAGGAATCTGACAGCAACTGGACGTTGCGTCGGTCTTATAGCGCCCAGGGACATGCCATCAGAGAGCATTTCAACATTCAACTATTTGACCAGGACGATATTCCACTCGTAAAATGCAGCCTCAAGCTGTTCATACAAAGCCTTGATGCTCCTCAGGATGATACAAGGGAGAAAATCTTTAAGCCACGGAGTTGGTTTGGTCCTGACTTGTACGTTTTGCCTCAATAACCAAGACAGTTGATTAATGTTGAAATAGGGATATCGAAGTGATTGAACAGCAGGTTGACTCACAACATCGGCCAACCACAACCCCCCTCCTACCGGCCTCAACATCGACAAATTCGGTGTCACAAAGTTTAACCGAAGAATCTGTATTGCCATCCATTATACCAGGACCCGAGCCCGCCACAAAAACCCTCACCGGGAAAGTGGCCATCAAAAAGGACCGCAGTCTGGAGCATCGCATGCTCACGACAGCCAAGGCTTTCGTCAGAGGCATCCAAATTCTTGTCAGTAAGCCTCAAGGAAATCAAGCCAAAAGATTAAGAACCATCCGAAAATGTTTCGACACGTCTGCAAGAAATGAGCACCCTATCGAAACTGGCCAGCTCATGCTTCTATGGATGCGATTGAAGAGTGATAAAACGCCAATAGGCCAAATATGCGACAGAACGACTTCTAAAACTAAGGACTTGGAACTGAGCGTGGCTTCTATAAAAAATGTGGGAAACTATATAGCGGGTATAACGGAACTTGAGAACGCGCGGAAGGCCAGAGACAACGGATCCAAATATCTTTGTGGTCGTGCCCTTGACAGAATCTTAAAAGTGATTTCAAGATTAATTGAATACTATGGGACTGTGGCGATTACCGTATTCACTTTCCTAGAAGGTAAGCTTTCTTACCAACACGACAAGGTACTACGTTGCTAATTTTCCAAGTTGGAGGCTTTGGTGTAGCCCGGCTTGGGAATACTGCCATTAAAGGCGCGGATAACGAAAGGTATTTTTACGATGGACTTGTCGCCCTGATTGATTTGTCATTGAGGAGGTTCGTTGCTACAGCCAGAGAAACTGAAGCCGATGCCATTCCAGATTCCATTCCAGTGCTAAACCCAGTAGCCTTTCACTGGTGGTATGAAGGAGAAAAGGGCTGTTATGAGGATCTGTGCCAGAACTTAAGGCTTCCTGCTTTCGCAAACGCCACTCCAAACACCTACACTGAGAGACCTCCTAGCATGATACTCGACGTTTGGTGCACGATCGCAACAAGCCAGGAATCATGACGGTAGTCGTGATAACAACAGCAATGTTGACTATACAAATAGCGAGCCTGGGAGCAACTCGCCAGATAAGTCGACGGATTTTATCCTGCAAAATGCCCAGAGGCTTGCGAAGTACATGTCTTGCAAAGACGAGGAAACATACCTAAAGAGCTTCGAAGGAGATAAAGAGAAGCATGATATGGCAAAGCTCGCCTCAAGAATATTAAATGGAACATCATCGCAAGAAGAGCTCTTGACGGCTCCGACGGACGTGGTCTACATGATAGTGGAAATGTTGTTGCTAGACAGCCGGTCAAAGCAAGGGGTCAAGAGAAAGCGAGCATCTGGAAATGAACAGGACAAGAGATCTGATGGCTCAAGGTTTCACCATGACTTGCGGCAGCCAGTGTCGCCAGTTGATCTGCTTGACCAGAACACCAGAGGCCAGGCTGCACCGCTGACCGGGGGTATGGATATTTCTCAAGGGCTTCCGCCCCTTGATCAGCAATTTCCTCCTGGTTTCTTCGGTACGCCAAGCCAGTTCAAATATATCCTGATGCATCCCAATCTGGATCACAATTGTGGTCGACTAACTTTTAGACAGATATCGATTTCGAAGGCATGGATGCAAATGATCGTCTTCCGCAATTCGACTCGCAACTTGCTCTCGATTGGGCGAACCTCATGGATATGGATTCCGTTGGAACTGGTCTATCACTATTTGGAGCGCAAGGTTCCTCCAGTGGTGACGTCTTCCTGGAAGTCTAGTTTACCAGAAATTTGAAGATCTTTGAATTCAATCCTGCTGCTATCCTAAACGTTTCGCACCGACCGTACCATTAGATAATATGGTACTCTAAGACGGAATTTTGTATCTGGAAGTATAACCAGCTTGTCCTTTTTACTAGCTTCGACAAATTTGTTCTCTGAAAAAGGCTCCCCTATTGCTGCCAACCAAATCGGCACCTTTTCATGAGTAATTGGAGTGATTATGGCAATAGAGCCGGAACGCGCCTCATGATATTCACCATTTCCATCCCCAGTGCGCACGACTCTTGCAGCCTTTTCCATGGGACAGACTGCAAGCCCTCGTTTAGCAATAACATCGTTAATAGATACATCCTATTATTTTTTTACTTTAGCATAGTTCTGTTATCCAACGGCCTGTGTGCCTACCTTTTTCAACAGTATGCTGGTGTAAACCATGATTGGGAACGTCTCGTCGTAAATCCATAACTGGCGACCCCGCTCATCTACCGTCTTTGTGGAGTGGACGGCTAGACTCTTAACAATATTGTCTTGAAGGCTGTCCGGCGTGTCGAGCTCAAGGAGTTGGTAACGATTGTCTTCAGCCATCGTGTTTGTTTCGTTGCACATTTCACGAGAAGTTTGTTGAGCATCTAGTCTTTATATATACGTGTCGATGGGCTGCGGTAACTAGCGACTGTCCAAAGCGAAAACAGTCTTGATCCCGTCATCACACATGCAGACTCGCGTGACTTAAAAACTGGGTCCGCTGTCCAATCAATCACAGGAGTCGCCCAAAATATACAACAATACAAAGTGACCAAGCATGCATGACGAGAAATGTCGATAGTTGGAATTCTGATCCTGTACTATTCGTACGTAGAATTGAATGAGTGACCTGTACCAATAGCCAAAATTCCCAAGCTCTATATTCCATAAATCGTGGCCCAACAAGCAACGCATTTGCGTTGCCGTAATCTTAACCTGAAAAAGGTGGCAGGCCAGTGTTGACATCCATACCAGAATCCTCGTCTACATCATCATAATCCGTCACATCTGTTTCGGTCTTGTCGTCGGTAGTAGAGACGGTGGATGTGGGACTTTTCGATGTTGTGGATTTGTGTTCGTGAAGACTATCATCGCGGCTCTCTTCCTGATTTACACCTTCATCTCGCGAGCCTTGGGAGGTTGAAGCTAGAAATATGAAATTAATAATTTCGTCTGGTTTCACTGACCTGAGACATTACCTGGAATATCAGTGCTGCGTTTATTTACTGCCAAACAAGATCAGCGTCAGTTAGGGGAGGGGAATTGACTCATATTCACCGTTTCCTGCGCAGTGTGAAATGTGGTTTTGTTCTACCATTGGAAGGGACCCGGACGTATGCCTGTGCTCTGGATTTCCAGATCGGGGCCCTGAAGAATCCCTATTACTTGTCAGCAACGTATAATACGCTGGGGAGCATAGATCATTACCCGGCTGATGGTGCTAATCCTCTATCTACATTTTGATCATAAATACGGGTTGACGGGTTAATACCGGCGTACACTTCTTCACCTTTCTCTGTCTGAGGTATGGTATGTTCAGCCATTTGTGAAATAGTTAAAGAGAATGATTACAAGTGAATGTAGACTGGTATGAATCTGTGCCTTAAATTTTCACCGCTCCAGCAGATACAGTCGGACGTTATATACGAAATTCTCTTATCTCTTGCCTCACGAATTCTCCGTACATCAGCTTTGGGATGGCGGATGGCTCCTCTGGGCTAGTTTTCATGCATGAATTGATCAGCCAGCTCCTTTTCTGATGCAAACCAACAATTTTTCTGCAAGCCACATCACCATTAGAGTAGCATTCATGTAAATTACCGTATAAAACAATAGAATTTGATAGATGACATGCGGAGAATAGGCGTTCCGGTAGGCGAGTGTCACTCGAATGTGTGATTTGAGACCTGTATTGATGGCCCTGCCCCGTTATGGTTGGCCGACTTTGGTCGATTTTGGTCGAAATCAGCCGAAATCGGCAAAATTCGGTCCTTTGCTACTCCGAAATGGCAGATTCAGCTTTTGACTATTTATGACCATTCGCGACGGATTCCGACTCTTGTCGACTCTTTTCGACTCTTTTCGACTCTTTTCGACTCTTTTCGACCTTCACCCCACGATCGAATGTTTCATTGTCAACGATGCCGCAAAAGAAGCTAACGTCAGTCGCCGATATAGTGGACAAGCTCGTTGATGTTTCCATCGCTATAAAGAATCGCGGGAAGTTAAAGGACCCCGAGGAGGCCAGAGTAGGCGACGCCTTCGCACTGTTGGCAGCGGGTCGGCCACCACCTGGATGCCCTGGAGAGACAAACAAATCGCGGTACCTAGAATTTTTGCTGCGAGTCAAACAATTGATGGGGCCGGCAGGAGTCGTTATTTCTGCAGCAGGGCTCGGTGCATCAGCCGTAGCTGGCATGAGGGACCGCCTGCGTGTCGATCTGCCAGTCAAAATGAAAGAACGGGAGAGAGAGTTTGCCAAGACAGAGCTTGAGACCATCGCCTGCATTTTCTCAGCCAAAAGTGAGTCTTTCAGGTTCTCCCATGTCATCGTTGTGCTGACTTACTAGATCATCAGCCAAGCCAGATGGCTGCAGTTGCCTCTCAACGTGGAGAACCTGCCTCCTCGTCTAGCACTTCGACAGTTCGTCGTATTGAAGCTGCTGCAACTGCAGCCTCACAATTTACTGGAGATGCTTATGAACTTGGATGGGAAGATGTCCGGGAGATCGTAAATTCAGGGCAAGAAGTAGGACGGGTTTATCTAATAGATACATATGCCGAAGCAGTTCATTCTTTTGTCATTATCCCTATTTCTCCAGAGTTGACAAATCACTTTGCAATGCAACGAGCAAAAATATAGAAAGTTATCAGCTCTCTTCCTGATGCATAATATACCCCACGTTCAATGAACCTGAGACTCTGAACCACCAGTTAATATCCCAGGGCACCCCGACCATATACCCAGCATCTTCGGTGCCAACGGTACCGAGATGTTTGTCGGCTGTGCTATCGAACACTCGGATCGCGCCCTTGTTTTCGGGTACATCGATAATAATTAAGAAAGTATTCGCGGGAGGCTGTATTCGTGTACCCTTTGGAAGATCATGTCTCCAGGTAATGCTGCACTCGCCGCATTGTAACTAGGAACGTCTTGTTAATTTCGCTTTCGCAAATATATGAAGACTTTCTTACCTGTTCCCTGCAATGTTGCTTTAGATCATCGTCGGTCATCCGTGGCCATTTGATCTTGGTTATCTTTGACATGCTTCACGTATCATAAGATTGTCAGCATGGTTTTTGGGAAATGGAAAGAATTCTTCGCTGTTGACGTTAGTTTCAATACCAAAACGCACACATGGTCATCAACTCCCAGGTAGGCCGTAACTGTACTTTGTAAAGGCGCGTTGAATTAAATCTCTGAAGCGCGCCAACTGTAGGATCGGACCTGAGCCCCATGTTCAAAAATGGACGCAATTCAGTGTCATCGGTGGTTTGCAGTCGCGGACCAGATAGAGCGAAATAGAAGAGCGGGGTCCTCGGGTACTAAATTTGTTGGTCGCAAGCGTCGGCGGTCAAGGAGAGCTTCGCTGCTCTAGGTACCGAGTGCGGCTACTTGATCATCGAAGAGGCATAAAGGTAAAAACGCGCCGTGTCAAAAAGTGCAGGATGCGGTATATTCCTTGTCATGTGCCTTTAGGTCGCAATTTGTTGAGAATCAACTCCATGCCTAAGTCACGTGAAGATCACACGCCGCCTCCACCTTAGGCAATCTATACAATGAAGTCCGCGTAGCGCTACATCCTCGACAATCGGCGACAATGCTGCAAGACAACCCGGAGAGACCATGCATCCCTACATGTGTTGGGTAGTTACAGCTACTTTGTTAGATGCTGTCCTCTTTTCTGATGAGTACACTATTCTACGACATCTTGCGTGCGGCTTTGTTCCGGAGCGGGGTATTGTGGTTAGCCGATCCTGCTCTTACCTGCACAGGTAGCAGTCAATGTGACTAGCTGTATCGTCGAACAAGATAGGAAAATATTTGTCATTTGCAAGAAGTACTACAAGGACTACATAATACGCAACGTTTCTACCGAGTCCGTTCGCAACCTGGTACACACGTTGCAGATCACGGGGATGATGTCAGGTCATGTTACTCCGACTTTCGGCAGCGATAAATGAACGAGACACAAGCCCTTCAGATGGAGCATCGGGCGGACATCAAACTGGAAGTGCTGACGATGCATCCCAGGCATGATGATACGATCATGACGCAATGGGAGGGCGTAATCAGATGACAGCTTGGCAGCATAGACTTTGAGCTATACCGCCATTAAAGTATGGGGGGAGGGACATGTGTGATGTCTACACAGAGTCGGCGTCTGAGTTCAAACTTTACTGAGACGAGGTGTTATACCTTATGGCATCATTCTAGCGAACAGTGTTTGACTACCTCCTATAAATGCGTCCCATGTCGCATGCTTGCAACTCATGAATCGCTACACTAGGTAGCTATAACGACGCCTTTACTACAAATATGGCTATAGTAAATTTGAAGTATAATACATTTCTCGAAATCATTTTCGGCTCTTCCAACCTCGACTACAGAGTCCAAAAAAGAATAGTAACCGATCTCTGGGACGGAAACTTCGAAGCCCCGGTCGACAAGTGCGCGCAACATACCCTGCGCAAGGCCAATTCACAAAAGTATAGCATCGTAACTCGCTTTGTGCCTCCATATTGCTTAACAGTAACCTTCTATAAAGATACAATTGGCTTTGTTACTGTTTCAAGTCTCGATCCGGATTTTCAACATGGTATTACTGATCTAGGTGATGGCTTCCATGTCACCGACCAAGCAGTCACAGCTCTAAGACAGGCCTACCATGATACCCTTGATCTTAACACTGCCAAGCAAGTGGCGAGTATGAGTTTCCTTAGCGGCAATCCGCGTGATAATAATGCTCATGAATCAGCCATCAACAAGTACGATCTAGCTTGTAAAGCCGGCAACAACTTCAAACAGGACGAGATTTACATTCGTGTGGAGGGTCCAGCAGGCCCTCCAGCACCAGCGCCTGGATTACCAGATCCAAAGACGATTCTTAAGTACCATCCTACTCCATTTCCTGGAATATGGTTAAACATCAAACATCGCACTTGGCTACTATCTGTCTATTGGATACACAAATTCTTGCACTGGATGTTTGCGAGTAGCAAAGTTGACTTCCAGAAAGGTCCTGCCGCCGTATTAAATGATTTCGCCTACAGCACGCACAACGGCAAATATGCAAGAAAGCTGCATATCATTGGAGGGGAATTATCTTCTCACCTGAATTGGTGCCGCTGGCCGTTCGCTTTGCTGAACCTCAACGCAACCAATATTGGAGTGGCAGCCGTAATTGGTCTCTTCACAGCAGCAAAAATTGGCAACACTGAAACAGCATTAAAGATTGCTGCTTCCCTGCTGCTGGGCCTTTTTGTGTGGCAGATAATCTGGACATACTTTGTGTCTACGACCACGTACGAGAACATTGCTTCCAACGACTTCCGGCTGCGAACGGTAAAACAAGCCGTTACATTGTTCGGTCTCGATGATTGCCACCTGCGGTTATTGCTGGCGATGATATCACCTCAAGAAGATATCTATGCTCATGGCAGCGAAAATTCATATTTAGACATTGCGGGAATGGGAGTTCTTGAAGTGACTGATTCGGTGCCATCAGAGATCTTGTACGTTGCAGGATATATCACAAGCTCACTAGATCCTACGGAAATCAACCATCATTCGGCCCCAGACAGTAGCGCTGCATTAGCAGCTTGGGTCCCTTTCGATACTCATCGAATCACTTACTCCTCTAACGATAAGGTGCGACGGTTTTGGCTAATTGATAGCAAGCTTCATCTATCCAATTCCAGGAGATCATCAATCGAAAGAACAGAGGAGAGCAAGCTGGTCTTCAAGCACGATGGAGATGAACTGAATCTGCCAAATAAGCTTCGTGTCTATGGGAATATTGCCAATTGCCAGACAGCGTAAACTGAAGCCGAGTCAGGCTCGGGTGGACAACGCAACTCTTCGTCTGGGGTTGGGTAGTGTGGTAGGCTATCTCAGTAATCTCATCGGTCTATAGAGTCAGATCTCAGGCATGGTCGAACTTACCTTCCTAGCGCGCCACTACTCAACCAGAACAGTTCAGGGAATCGAAATTACACCAAGTTAGTACCGGATATTATTAGAACAGAATGTCAATCAACCTACTTCTAAATACCAATGTCTTTATCCTTAATGATATCTGGTTCTTTTCTGAGATGCACAAGTTCTAGACCTCACGAGTTTGGATATAATTTGTCGCACCTTTACCCCACTAGCTTGCGGTGGGCAGGATGTGTAGGCGGGTGGTCACTCGGTGCGTGATTAATCTGACGTTTGAGTCTTTATATATCAAGCAATTGGCCGCATTTAAACTGCAGGCAGGCTATAAGAGCTTAACAGACCGGGTTCGCAGCGCGTTTATTAATATTATTAAATACACGATTAAACCTGCGGTTAAACCTAGGGTATAGCATCTCGCTAGACTATAAGGCTAGAGACCTATTTTAAGCGTAAAATTTAAGCGACTTGCTTAATTTATCTTATTAAAGCTAGCGTTTTTATAATAAATTACAGCTACTTATTATATGACTTTTACGTTACCACTTACTACTTACCTGTATAACCTTACTATTATTAATTCTTAATATGCTTTTTATACTAGTAATTAAATTATACTACGTTTATACTTAACTTGCCTACGGCTAGACTCCGTAAATTAAAGCTAAGCAGCCTAACACTACGGCTATATAATACTATGAAAAGGCTACTCTATTACTCTTTTACATTAAATTAAGCTATAAACTAAACTTTTACATCTCTTTAAATAATTATATAGTTAAAATTCTTTATTACACGTAGCTAAGTCTAGCACTTTTAAGAACTTTAGCCTAGCTTTATATAAACTAAATTTATATTAAGTATAGAGGCTATAAGTTAAGTGCATTAAAAGCGGTACTTTACACGGCTAAGGTCTTATAGAAATGCTAGGAAGGGCAGCCGTTTTGCAAAATGGTAGTTGTTGCTACACATTCGCTGGATACGGTAAATAAGCCCGGAGTAGAGGCAACTGGCAAGGCTCTTGCATGAGTAGCAGATCCAAATCTACATTGTCATGCCATTAGTTATTTGAAAATAATGCCATACAAATCCATGATATGCCAGTCACCTACTGCTTCTTCCGTGGCGACCGTGATCGCGACTTATTCCGTTTAGCCACAGACCAGTCACCTATATCCAAGGACAGTTCATCAGTAGACGTGTCAGATTCATAGGAGCGTGATTTGTGTGAATGTGAATGGGGTCTTAAAACCGTTTCTTAGCTAGTGGTAATAGTGTCCTCACCAGACCCTTCATCCGCTAAATCAAGACCTAAACCACTGGCCGTGAACGACGCCACTCGTTTTGCCCTTTCATTTGCTTGCTGAATAGCATTATCTCTCTTTTCTTTTACCTAATCCCTGGCGTTACGGAATGCAGAAGCGCTATGGCGAAATGTATTAGCATCGCCATTAAGGCCCCACGTTTTAATCTGTGTCGTTACGAAGCCAGGCTTTCCTTCTAGTATACGTGGCGGTATCGGATGGCTGGTATACATTATAAGCGTGCCTGCATGATATATTAATGAGATTGTATATGCCTTATTATCATACTTGGGCTCCGGCTGGCTATACGACTGCAAACTAAGCATACCCCTTGCTCCTAAAGCGCCATTATAACACGACTGTCGGGAAGTAACTGATAGAGTTCTATTAGGGCCTTTGGTCTCAAGGAAAAAATTTGCTAGGATTAGAAGATTGCTCTAAGATGAGGGCTTGATCTTACGGCTTTGCTCTCTACGAACTCTGATATCAAGCTGTTCGGGCCGTGCGCCGCGCGGTACAGGTTAGGCTTGCCTGAAACGATCATGCCGTCGGTTAAGTCGTCTAGGTTTGTGAATGGAACGTCTCCAGCAATACATTTACTATCTGCGATTGTTCCTTCGATTAAAGGTATAACGTTTATTGTAATTTCACGCTCTTTAAAAGCATGGGTGTCTGCTCTTTTAAGCCTTCTAAAATCATTATTAGAGAATTGAGATGGGGATAAAGATGGTTAAGGCTAAGCCATTGCGGCGAGTATATCGTTCATGTTCTTAGGCTTTAGTGGTAATGCGCTATCTGGATATTTATAACTATCTGGGAATATATTATGATCGATGAGATTTTACTGAAATGCACGATCGTATAGACTAGTGCTTCTCGTACTCGTAGTATTAGGAGTTGCGTTGGTCTTTAATAGGGATTAGCTAGTTCTCTTTATAAGCGACTATAAACCTCTCTTTTAACGCTTAAGGCTTAATTAATTAAAGCTTATATTACTACTTAAGCTTATTAAGACTTAATACTAGATTACTATTAGCATTAAATTACATATAATATTAAACTATATTAACGCCTCTTATTATAAAAAGATTTAGGCCGCCTTATCTTATAAAACGTTTTAAGGTTAATAGTTATTAAGGCGTATAAAGTGTTTATATATAACTAAGAGAATAATTACTTAATTAATTTCATTAATTTAATTCCCTTATTACGTTATAAGTAAGAGGAATTATTAATAGATTATTTTAGAATTTAAGAGGTAGGAAATATAAATAGTTACGTTTTTACTTCTTTAAAGAGTAAGTAAACTAATAGTTCTTAAAAATTTCATTTAAAGATAAAGTAACGCCTTATTTCTACTCTTTTATATCTTAGTATTATTAGCTTTATAACGTTAGTATTATTAAATACTTATTATATAAGCTTAAAGATAAAGAAACTCTTCTTTTTATATAATTATAAGGTTAAGTAATTCTAGTTATAACGTTATAATACCGCCTATTAATTAGCAGAGATTACGCGGCGCTTAATAAAACGCGTCTTACTATTATAAGGGGAGCTTATAGCCTATAAAAAATATATTATACTTAACCTTTAATATAATTAATTACTTTTAGCTTATAAAAGGCTAAAATTAGATTAGTTTTTTACTCTTATAACGCGTATAATTATATTTTAGGTATAATATAGTTTAGCGCTTATAGGTAACCTACTTACTTCTTAGCTTATAGGGCCTTTTAAACTAATAGTATAAGGAGTAAGTAATAAATTAATTATATATAATACGAAAGTATTAGTAGCTATTAAGGTTAATTCTTAAGTTACTATTATATATTCTTTACTTTAACTATTCTTTAATACCTATTATATTAAGATCTTATCTATTAATAAAATTTATTTTATTTAATTAACCTCTTAATTAAATTTTTATATTTATATAACTAATATATATCTTTAAATTCCCTTTTAGCTAATAATTACGCGAAGAACTCAGCTAATTCTAGACATAATAAAGGGTATATTAACTAAAAGAAATATTAATAGAAAGCTAAATATTATCTTAGTATTAAAGGTTAATACCTTATAGGTTTATTATAATTTTATAAAACTTAACCTATTATTATATAAAGAGTAAACTAATATTAATTTAATAGTATTATCTATTATTAAAACTTTTAATCGTAAGAAGTTTACCTTAACTATCACGTGATTTTTAGCTTTATTTTAATATATAATATGCTTATATAAGCATTTATTTCTATTATTAGATACTTTATAGCCTTATAATACATTTATAGGTATTCTTATCTTGTAATGTATTGTAATATATTACAATACAATACATTACAATATAGTATAGTAAAAAATACAAAAAATATAATACATTTAGAGGTCTAAGTATTATAGAGTAATAAAGGTACTAGGGGCTACTTAAAGTGCTAAAAGATTAGTAGTATAAGTTCTATTTCTTTATGTATTCTTATATAATTTATTTATTAGTAGACCCTTAGGAATTATTTATAAGAGATATTATATTTTAAAGTCGTTAAAATTTAAATTAAGCCTAAAAATAATACTATAAATATAGCCTAGGTTTTTAATTATTATACTATTAGTGCTAATAACTATAAGTCTCTCCACTTATAAGTGTAAGAATATAAGATTAATTATAACGTGAAAAACTATTATTTAATAGATAAGTATTTTTAAAGACAAATATTTTTTATAGGTTATAATAATAGTAAAAATTAAGCGTTACTTAAATAGGTTTTAAGTCTATTAGAATATTAAAGTTAATAGTAATAACTTAATATTACCTTCTAGCGCTAAGTAAAAGCTTATAGTAAACCACTAGCTTTTACTAGCTTCTCTTTTATTATTAAACTATATATCTTATATTTAATACTTTTAGTAGCTAGTATTAAATAAGTCTTCTTAGCCTTTACCTAGTTAGAATATCGTGTTCCTATTAACTTTATAATTATCGCCCTTTAGGTATAATATAAGTGCCTTATAACGTAAGCTCTTTACTCTAGGGTCTCTAGTAGTGTAATATAATAGCTTAGCTTAATAACTATTACTTTACTAGAAATATTTACTTAATTATAATTTGATAATGCGTTTTTAAGTTTAAGTAATACTCTATTAGCACTTCACTTAAGAATATCGCCTAGAAGAATAAAGCGTAGTAATATATTAATACTTTACTTTAAAGGTATTAATTTTAATATTTTACTATCTAGTAGAGATTAGATACGGGGTAACCGGGGTATAATAGTACTAGATTAGGGGCTTTAGCATATAATAGGCAGGATTAAATTATACCCTTAGCGGCTAGATAACTAGCTAAGATTTAATATAAAAGGCTTTTAAATAATACTCTCCTTATTAATATTATTTTAATTATATTTAATTCTAGAAAGTAAAGCTTAAAAGGAAAGATACAATAAATTATAGCAAATAATCTAATAAACGAACTATACTAGGCTTTTACTTAATTATTATTACTAGAAAGTCTAATTACTATTAAAGTATAACCTATAAACTAAAATAGTTTAAACTACCCTATAAAATAAACTAGTT